ATACCATGCTGATTATTATTTTTCATTTCGGTGCCAACGGCTCGGCCTTCAATGCATACCATCAATCAAAGGTCAATATTTGAACTTGCGCGTTTAATCAAATGAAACAATGTCTAAAATAAACCTGATATTGCTTTCTGATGTGGCTGGGTTATTTCAGGTGCCAGTCGTAAAAATAAGAAGACAGTACATGTATATTTACATACGGCAAATTTGACTTATTCGCTATATACCCGGGATATTCAAATTGGGGTCTACTTGTTCGATATTTATAAATGACGACATTGCATTTCGTGCGATAGATTAAGGTCAATATTTTCATTCTATTAAATGCAACTTTATAAGTAGAGTGACTATATGGTACGCAGTATAAACGCCAGGTATAGTCGAAATAATAGAAGACAAGTTGTAAGACTTTGGTTCTTTAGACACAATATTGGATCTTTTAAAAATTGTTGGTTAACTCTTTCTATAGTGTCAAATCACACACGTACTAATTAAAGCGAACGACATGTTTATATGTAAAAAAAACAGTGATATATTGGTAAAATCCTAACCATTGTCAAAATATCCATCAAATTCTATCTGTTCATGACATATGGTTGGTAGACCAAATAAAGTAATGTTCCCCCCCCCCCCCCTGGTCCATATTTGGGATGGAAATTAAAGTCAAGGTCAGTCTAGGACGTGCAGGAATTAGGGGGTGATAAAAGATGGTGTTGAGTGAGACTGATTGTCTGCGATATCACTTCGGTGGAAGTGGACGTAAAATACAACTACCAACAACAACGAGACTGATCAGAGCTCACCCAGGTATTCCGAGCAGCTATCATTTATTGAGAACGAGGGACCTTTGAAGCCAATCCAGCTTAATAATAAAGTTGAAGAAATAATTTAACCTGCAGTTTTATATATTAGGATCACGAAGAAAACACAACAAGGAAGTCCAATCTACAAAGTATCGAAAAATGATTATGTGTCATATCGGACGTATGTGCTTCTTTGATATGTTAGATCACGGGAAAATTCTGTAATTGCATAAAAACGGCTATTATAAATTACAAGTTCTGGAATGAGGATCGTTAGATTGTATGCCATGTAAATTTAGTGAAAAGCTAAAGTAATTTAGTTTAAATATATCATTTGTGAGGAAATTACCACTGTTCGGTTCGTTGTGCCGTATTATTTATCAATATGGAGATTTCTGTTTTATGGATATTGCTATTGAAGGTAAGATGTACAATTTACGCAACGTGGTACGTTTTTATAAATTTAATAAATGTCAAACGGTGAGTGCGCGTCTTTTTAGTAATAAAACAGAAATATATTTCTGTTATTTTTGCTGGAGTTACTCTCTATATTCCCGTTTATATTCAAATTGGGCATTGACTGCTGGGTATTTATAAATGACGACATTACATTCGCCTTTCCGTATACGATAGATTAAGGTCTGTATTTTTATTTCATTAAATTCAACTTTATATTATATGTTACGCAATACAAAAGACACGTAAGAGAAACGTAGATCATAGCGAGCACACACACCTGTCAAAAGACCTGCCTTTAATTATTTAAAGACCTGCGTAAAACACACGGTCGAATGATAAATCGCACGGTAAAACAGTTTTACTTCCCAAATTTTGATTTAACACGTACGTGTCAGATAAAGCCTTTTGGTCCTTGATTATACTCCTTTTGATGCAGTTATCGCAACTAGCGAGAAAACACGCCAATAAAACAATACACAACATTGACATTCATTTTTTTACCGGTCAGTTAATTAACACACCTCTACTGAAAACGCACTGTCGCACAGTTTTTCACCCCTAGCGTTATTTCACCCTTGTTAATTAACACACCTTATTTACAGTTTTAACGCAGTAATACTGAGTAATAGTCGGCAAATTAATTTTCTTTCGATACACGTACAAATAACAACTATGGCTGAGATTTATATGGTGGCTGTGCACAGTTTCACCCTTTAGCAGTTCTCAGTGATAGATATCATCTAGCCCTAGGACACTGTAGTGTTATTGTTTCTCAAAATAGACATCAGTGGTACTACTTTTCTTCTCGGTATCTTGAGTACAGATCATTTGATATGGTTGACATGTTACATGGGAACGCTCATGAAAACTTAAACTAAAAGTGTTTGATTGTATGGATTGGCTGATTGTATGGATGGGTACACAAAGCTATCAAAATATAGATGCAATAAAACTATATCAGTGGGTAGGATGCTGGCTCGCTAGCCTGGATGGCTGAAAAAGTTCATCGGGATTTTCTGATGTGGTTCTACCTTGTCAGTGGTGCAGGACAGAGGGCCTGGCAAGGACAGCTGTCTAGTCATTCGAATAGTATGAAAAACTGAGGCCCTGTGTATACATTGGTGTGCATATAAAGGATCCCTTGGCAGTTGGAATTTGAAATAAAAGTAAGCTTCAGTGTCACTGTTTCAATGGCATAGAGGTTACAGGTCACAATTCTATGGAATACAATTACAGCTTTTTACTGAGCGATGTTTCGACTAGGCTTCTCTAGTCATTATCAAGCTATGATAAAAAATGAAAATATGACAGAACAATATATATATGTAAACAACAATGCTTAGTTAATGCTGGCAAACCAGGGATCTCCCTTAATTACGTGTACCTAAATGTAATCTAATTTAATTAAATGCTAATAAGCAAATAATACCAATTAACCTAAAAATTGACTAATTGATTAATGGATAAGTTGTTCTGGAATATACACAATGATTAGTGGATTTTAATAATGACAAACGTTGAAAGAAAATGAAATTTGATGAAATGTTATCAACGACCCCTTTCACTGAAATAAACACAATTGAAGCGCCTTCTCTTCTAAATCAGTTAAAAATATATCTGAAATTAAAGGGGAGAGGGGGCTTCCCATTGGTAATCCATTCGTCTGTTCGTAAAAATCGTCACGCCAGGAGAAATATGTTGAATTGATGCATTGTTTCAACAAGAGTATGATGTTGTCTGTTGATAGGGAAGTCTCTAGTGGGTTGTCTAAACTATCTATGCGCTTGCGTAGAGTCTTCAGGGCCTCTTCCCTGGGTACATTTGTAAACAAATCTACAACATCATCCTCCCGGGGTTTTGAATATTCTGTAGTTTCTCACAGAATTCACCTGAATCTTTGAAGGACGATGCTGTTGTGCCAAGTGAAAGTAGTTTTGATAAATTTCCCTCATGTCACACTGTATGGCGTGTGCCCTTCTTCATTATCCCAGTCGTAGCAGGACGGTAGGACATTAAACCCCATTTAATTCATTTCAAATTTATATGGCCACTTAGTTATATGACAAAACTTATCAAATTTTTTGCTGGGCTTAAGAGAAATTCTGCATGGGTAGTATGATGACAGGATACATCATACATCATGCTATGATGGATACTTATCTCTAACAGCAGTGTTTCTATCTACTCATCTTCGAATAACTGTCTAGGGGTCTTTGATGTGCACACAAATACAGGTGAACCTCAGGCTGGAAAATCTCAAGGAGCTTTTTAAAATCGGTTATCAAACCCAGATCACCTGTTTACTAAGCCAGCACTAAACTAACTGAGCCAGCATAGCTCCCCAACATTGAGAGAGAGAGAAATGGAGTTTAAAGTCCACTCGACACAAACTAGGTCAATTCGGGACTAACATATGGTTTAATTTTATTTCAATAATTTGCTTGCGCGTAGGGGTCTTTAGCAGTGGTAGGAAACCGGAGGACCCGGAGAAAACCCACGAGGTTGGACAGGTGACCCTACTCCTTGTCACGTACAATCAGGGATTCGAAACCACGCCAGTTGACTCAATAACAGGCCGTATGATACAGCACGCACATGCTAACCATTCGGCCATCAGTGTTGGGTTAAGATATGACAGTGTCCAAGTATGTAATGGATATTACCAGATAAGAGCACAGTAAGACGAGAATACAGTGGAAACACATATTCCTGAAGCAATGGCCTGAGAAATCCCTCTCTGGCTATTGCTGTACCACTTCTGATACTTGAGCTTTTGAGGGAGTGTGTCTATTATTCCCTTTGTTTAATCTGGGGTCTTCCCTAAAACTGTAGCCAGTGATTTAAGGTATTAAAAAAAGTGAAAGTATTGTTCGTCTCCAAGCGTTTGTTTACATTGTAGCCGTTTGATAGCCTCATTTGTCACGCAATTAGTTTCTGCAATATTCTGCTATGCTCTGGTTAATTGGGCGTAATATTTTAAGAGTCCTGACACAACATTATGTAAACATATTTGGTCCAGTTTGGAGCTATGTTTAAAGCCGAATGATTTTGTTACGCAGTTAGCTTTTGGTTGTTAATCGGATTATTGACCAGTCATAATTTGGAACAGAAATTTGCTTCCATTACAGCAGTGTTAAGTGGGATTAGGTCTAATCAAACAAACACAGAGAGGAGTATGTGGAAACATTACTAGAGAAGCTTTAGCATTGACAAAGAAAGGAAAACAAAATTTTGTTCATGAAATAAAAAAAGAATTGTGTGGAGATGTTAATCAAGAGATGACCACTGTCAAGTTCGGTCAAATCATTTGGATATGTTTTACATGAAGGACATATACCTGAACTGTTGTATTGAATTATATTAATTCCAACATTATTTGTTATTCATTATGGAACTGGGGAGTGGATGGCCGAATGGTTAGCATTTGCGCTATGTATCATAAGGTCCGTCATTGAGTCAGCTGCCGTGGATTTGATTCCCCTGTTGTACGTGATAAGGAGTAGGGGCGTCTTCCAACCTCGTGGGTTTTCCCTGGGTCCTCCCGTTTCCTCTCATTGCTAAAGACCCCTACGCGCAAACGAATTGTTGAAATAAAATTGAACCATGTGTTGGTCCTGAAATGACCTAATTTTTGTAGTGGAGGTTGACCCCCTCTCTCCTTCTTTCTCTTTCTGGAACTATGTAATGATAAAGGACAAGCTATTTTTTTAAACGTTTTTGTTAATTTTCTAGGGATTGAGGATGAACTGAATTGGCATGGTAAACCATTAGGTGGTAAATCTGAACAAGCCATGGCAGAAATTCAGGCATTAATACAGAATAATGGTCCTTATAACATAGTCCCAGCACAACCTCTTAATGATGTACCAAAAGTTGATATATCCAATATTAGACTTTCTGAACCACCAGCATATAGTGAACCAGTAAGTATCCTCCATTTTACAGTAGCCACGGTGGCTCGCTAGTCTGGAGGTCGCGTCTTCCATCACTGAATTGGCCGAGAAAGTTCATTGGGATTTTCCGGCCTTGTTCCCCCTTGTAGGTGATGCAGGACAAGAGGACCTGACAAGCACAGCTGTTCAGTCGTTTTGATTTGTCGAAAAACCATGGTCCTGTGTATACATTGACACACACATGAAAGATCCCTTGGCACTTGGAATTTGATGTAAGAATAAGCCATAGTGCCGTTGCCTGGGCAAAATTTCCCACATAGCACACTGTAAGGCATATGCCCGTCTTCATTACACGGTCAGAGCAGAACAGTAGGATGTTAAACCCCATTTCATTTCATTTCATTTTGCTGTAGCTAATGGGCAACAGAGTTTGTCTTCATACAGCATTGGACTCAAAAACTAAAATATCCATTTTCTAACGAAGTGACTACGAAAACTTAGGATTATCACACAAAGGTCAGACCTGTTAAATGGTGTGATAGATTAGCCTAGCCATAAAAATCAGTACTAAAAAATAAATTTTTTGGCCATACAAAAATATACTGATTCTTGGATAATTCTTTACAAAAATCTGATGTGGGAGGGAGGTTCTTTTATTTTGTCAAAGAATGATGTTGTTAAACGACTTGTCACAAACATCACATTTCAACGTTCCGTATTTATCACACAACTAGTTTTAATCATGCTGAATTCACCTGAATTCCACTTTTATTTACTAGCATGTCATCTCGGTCTACAGATTAAAGCATAGATTAAATAGGTATGTGAATGCCACTCTCATCCCATGGAGGGGGGTTGGGTGGAGGAAGGGTTTAACAAGTGTGGGTTAGATCATAGTGGCATGGTTTCGATTGCTTGCTTGTACATGACATGCAGTAAGGTTACCTGTACAACCTCATGGTTTTTCTCCAGGTCCTCCGGTTTCCTTCCACAGCTAAAGGCCCCTACCTGCAAGCTAATTATTGTTAGTCCCTAAATTAAGACCAGCTTTGTGTCAAGTGAACATTAAATCTCTCTCTCTCTCTCTCTCTCTCTCTCTCTCTCTCACACACATGGACATTAAATCCCATTTAAATACAGATGATGGGTATCATTATTTGAAATAATGGTAGGGCAATGTGCCAAGCGTACATTATTTATACTAGTTAAAATATTGGAGCCGCATGACATATTTCATCGAAATGGTGCTGGATAGTGTCTGTATTTTAAGTTGTTTAATGGTCTCGTGCAAGACATTGCGTAATATAAAGATATAGTACTCGTGCTATCGTACTCGTGCAATATCAATATATTATTTAATGTCTCGCACTCGGCCGTTGAACTACACAGATAAATTTCCTGGAATATCTTATTAACCAAATTCTTGTAGAAATATGAATCCATATTAACAGTTGTATCTTGTGTTAACAAAGTATTTTCTATGTTTCAGACTGCATGTAGAGCGGCATATGGAAAGGCCATTGCTAAATTAGGCAGCGCAAACAGCCGAGTTATTGCCATGGATGGAGATACTAAAAATTCTACCTATGCTCAAAAGTTGATGGTAAAATTAAACATATAGCTTTGAATTAATAATGTTTTAATTCTGTTGCCTATTTTTTGTGAAATTAATCATTGCCATAGTTAGATAATATTAAATTTTGTTATGTGAAATCTGCTGCCTATTTTGGTGTGAACATATTGACGTGTTATGAGGGAATGCTAATTGGAAGAGGTGCTTGTTATGAATCTTTTAAGATATCTAGACAACATTATCTTCCTGATATATATCATGCACTTTAAAAGTCGTTGGAGCCGAGGTGGCTCAGTGAGTAAGACATTGACTCACCAATCTGGAGGTCCCATGTTCGATCCTGGTGTCGGCCGAGAAAGTTCATTCGGATCTAACAGCCTGGTTCCTGCTTGGCATTGGTATAGGACAGAGGGGCAAGGGACATCGTATAGTCATTCGAATGGGATGGAAAACTGATGTCTCGTGTACACATTGGTGTGCACTAGAAAGTCTGTTGGCTGTTTGAATTTGATATAAGGGTAGGCTGTAGGGCCGCTGACCCGGCAAAATGTCTCCCACAGCAGACCAGTAGGATGTTAAACCCCATTGAATTCCATTTTTAAATTTTTTTTTTATATATTAATACATTGCTAATGAGACAAGAGATTCAGCTTAGATGTATTGTAATTTACAGGACATTAGACCAAATCAGTATGTAGAATGTTTTATTGCTGAACAGAATCTAGTAGGTGTGGGAATTGGAACAGCAACCAGGGACAGAGCAGTAGTTTTCCTCAGTACCTTCGCAGCTTTCTTCAGTAGAGCCTTTGATCAAATTAGAATGGGAGCCATTTCACAAACAAATGCTAATTTTGTTGGATCTCATGCTGGTGTTTCTATAGGTAAAGTTTGAGTTTCTTTTACAGGTGGTTTAATCTATTCAAAAGATCTGATCAAATGAGAAGTGGTGCCAAGGACTCCAGAAAGAGCAGACATACCCAACCTTGTCATATTTTAACTAAATGGAGTGACCGCCAACACTACTGCTTATAACTTCATATGTGTAGGTTAGATAACTCCCCTTGTGACATGAGATTACTTTCACCTTTTATCAGCCAATATTTGCATTGTTTGGATGATTAGGACCTAACATGAGCAGCAGTATGGAGCTTCTTCTGCATTTATGGACCTTATTTTGAAAAGTCTTGCGTTTGTTTCAAAACCCTTATTAGCTTTATTGGTGCTTATGCAATTTGTGTTTATAAGTTCCTAACTCCTGTTGATTTATAACATTTCAGATCAAAATAAGTTTTGTGGGTAGAACATGACAATTGTGATGGAAGGAACATATATGTATCTTTAACTCGTTAAGTGTATAGGTCGTTATATAACGTCCTGGACAACTGCCACACACTGTGTGTAGGGCATAATATAACGCCTTGGAGGTATTTTCCCCCAACCTATTCTTAGAACATAGTTCGTCACTTGGGGGAATCCCTTGGGAATTCCCCCACGATTCCAGCATGTGTAGTACGTTATATTACTTCCTGGACAACTGCCACTCACTGTGTGTAGGGCGTAATATAACGCCTTGGAGGTATTTTCCCCAACCTATTCTTAGAACATAGTACATAGTTCTTCGTCACTTCGTCAAATTAATTACACAATAGGGGGTAGTTTACATTTTAAAAATGTCATGCTTAACGGGTTAATAAAAACTTTGTATATTTTGTGCAGGTGAAGATGGACCATCTCAGATGGCTTTGGAGGATTTGTCCATGTTTGCCAGTATTCCTGGTTCAACTGTATTTTATCCAAGTGAAGCTGTCTCTACTGAACGAGCTGTAGAACTAGCTGCTAATACGAAAGGAATTTGCTTTATTAGAAGCAGTCGACCTAATGTTCCAATATTATATGACCAGAATGAAAAGTTTGAAATTGGTAAAGCTAAGGTAAAACCCCTTTTCGTAGTCTTGGCGCATGTGATCGAAGGGATATATATATATATTATATTCTACCCCTATTAAGAGCTTACATAATTTTGATACATGGTGTGCTCGATTGTCAGTCCAGAACATTCAAAATTAAGGGATTGCAGTTGTGTCATTCCCGAAAACAGATGTATTATGAACAGAATTGTGACATAAATCAAAAGTTTCAGCTGAGGTGATTGGTCAAGATAATATCATCAGTTTGTGCACGCCTTGTCGTTGGAAATTCTTGTGTTTATGCAATTGATTGAACGTTTCTGAATTAAATTTTCTCAATGGAGTATACCCATAATCTTCTTAATAAATATTATATAGTGTCCAATTAAAGATACATTACAGGAGATTAGATAAAGAGCTGGCACTTCTCACTTTAATAGTTAAAAACTGGATTAGATGTAAACGGAATTTGCTGAAAATTTCAGTCAAATTGATCCAATCTGAACTGAGAATTTAGCGATTCAATTTTGGACCTAGTTTCGATTATCATTACTAAAGTTTGTACAATAATAACATAGTCTCGATTATTCATTTCATGATTAAATCGTGAATAAAAGTTGAGCAGCAAATCGGATCCTAATCCAGTAAGCCATGATGACATCGAGAGTTGATTATGGTCTGGATAAGTTAGTTAATGTCTAATTAATAATTTAGATAACATTTCAGGTCTAAAGAAAGACCTGCAATAGGCAGATTTATCTTTTGCATAATGTATGTTAAATGTAAGTTTTTGTGTAGTAAGGTCATATATACAGCGTCAATGCAAACGCCTTCTTTTAACTCTGTAGAAGATGACTGACCTTGTACTGCCTCGATCGCACGTTCGTTGTTTACATCAGATGTAGTAATGCAAACTGATGTAGGCAGAAATTGGGCCTTATTCTTATTTTATGCCTTCCCATACTGTTTTATATACATATTTACATTAAATAGGAAATATTTTATGATCAAAATATATTTACTTTTTATCTTAATAATTAAATATATTGTTTTAGAATTTAATTTGTAGACATACAAAAAATTTTTAATATTTAGAGATTATTAACTCACTCCGATGTCATCCCTTTCAGTGATAGTAGTGTCCAAGCAAACATTTACTGCTTATCAGTTTGGTTGTATCAAGAGACCAAAATCAGATCTCTGAATCAGATCTTTTTCATTTGCAATGTGCTGTTTTAAACACAAGTTATAATAGGTTGGCAAAATATATTTACTAAAATCTATTTATAAATTAGCTCTGGTTAAGGTGATAACCCGGTCTTGATGTTAAAGTAACTATTGTGTAGTTTGTGTAGAACAGTAGAAAGTTAAAATCCTATTTCATTTCGATTTAACTCCATTTTCAGGTGATAAGACAGAGTCCTGATGATAAAGTCACCATTATTGGAGCTTGTGTAACTTTATTTGAAGCTGTCAAAGCTGCTGATGAGTTGGCAAAGACCGGGGTCAATGTAAGAATTATCGATCCTTTCACCATAAAGCCCCTTGATGCAGCCTGTATCATAGAAAATGCTCGAGCTACAGGAGGTAGAATCATTACAGTTGAAGATCATTACCCTGAAGGTAAGATAACATTAATCAACATGTCAGCAACATCCAGCACGATGAATATGAGCTGGTTTTGGAAGGCACAAGACATGAAATGAAATGAAATGGGGTTTAACGTCCTACTGTTCTGCTCCTTAACTGGGCTAATGAAGACGGGCATACGCCATACAGTGTGCTATGAGGGAAATTTTGCCCGGGCAGCGGCACTATCGCCTACTTCTATACTGAATTCCAACTGCCAAGAGATCTTTTAAGTGCATTCCAATGTATACATGGGACCTCGGTTGTTCGTCTCATCCGAAGGACTAGACAGCTGTCCTTGTCATGCAGGCCCTCCGTTCTGCACCACTGACAAGGGGGAAACCACGTCGGAAAATCTGGATGAACTTTCTCGGCCAATGCAGGGATCAAACACCCGACCTCCAGGCTAGCGAGCCAGCGCCTTAACCACCTAGCCACCGTGGCTCCGGAAGGCACAAGACAAGATTGAGTTTCCCTACCGCTTGTCAGTGATGCAGGACGGGAGGGCCTGACAAGGATAGCTGTCTAGTAGTTTGGATGGGTTGTAAAACCCAAAGTCCCATGTACACATTGGCGTGCACGTAAAAGATCCCTTGACAGTTGGAATTTGATATGAAGAGTAGGCCGTAGTGCCGTTGTCTGGGGAAAATTCGCCTCATAGCACACTGTGTGGCGTATGCCCGTCTCATTAGCCTGGTTCGGAACATAACAGTAGGACGTTAAACTCCATTTCATTTCAACATTTTCCCCGAATCAAACTTCATGACGTATATTGACATCTTCATTAGACAAGTTCGTACAGAATAGTCAGATATTAAACCCCTTTTCATTTCATTTACAACCTTTGAGTAAAAGATTGAAAAGACCTGTTCGGATTCTTGAATGCACCATTCACTTTTAAAACCAAATGAGATTTAATAGAACTGTTTAAATGGCCACTTTTACATTGAATTATCTAAAACAAATCAGAATTTGACAATTAGAAAATATGTTTTATTACTATCCCATTATATAATTTACAATTTTTGTTTTTCAGGCGGAATTGGTAGTGCTGTCGCATCCGCAGTTAGTGAATGTCGAGATATAATTGTGCGTAAACTTGCTGTCAATCAAATTCCAAGAAGTGGAAAGAGTGCAGAGCTTATTGAAAAATATGGAATTGGTTGTTCAAGTATAGTTAAAGCTGTCAACCAAATCATGAGCTTATAAAGAAAATTAAAATTTCAGATGTACATGTATTAAATTTATACCAACATTTCTTTCACATTTCCTCCCCTTTTTTTTGTAGATCCAAAAACTTTATTAAGCATATATTTTATAGTTTATTTTTATTGAATCAAGAAGTATTTATACAAACAGCTTTAATCCAAGTTGCAGACAGATATATATTTCATAAATTTTAATATAAAAGTGTTTCTTGTGTTATCTTGATTTTTAAAGATTTATTAATGCATCTCATTGTTAAATTAGACAGAAATTGCATTTTCTTTGTGGCATTTTTGGTGCAGATATTAGCAATACTGATATGGGTATCTATATATCATTTGTATGTAATTGTTTTCATGTTTACTTTCGGTGTCGATTCTTGACCACATTCACAGAATTATAATTTCTTAAAATATTGACAACATTTTGGATAAAATTCAGGATGTAGGATGATTGACCAGTTTATGAAAGACCGTAATGAACTTTAAATAAAATTTTTGTGATTTTAACATTACCAAGACCGTTTAAGTTACAGGTTCATTTGTATCATGAAGTTATACTGGTCACAATATGGTTTGTTGATTAGAACAGTATTTGTTTTGTTATGAAGTTTGTTTTCTGATCTGAGGAAATTGTTCTGTTGATTTGGTAAAATATTTTGAAGCATTTATCTGTGTGAATATCAAATATTCCAATTAAGAATTAAATATGTATGAATGAGGCATAAATACTAATAATATGACATATTTGTTGTTTTCTTCATTATTGGATTTGAATTGTACATTTGGACAAAAAACGGAATTCGGATCTAGTAAACGGTTGCTGACTGATCTAATTTGCCAACCTGGCTTTGATACATTTAGGCGCTGCCATGTCTACTCATGCCTACATACCAAACAGAAGGACATTAAATCCCATTCTATTTCCTTTCCTTTCATACCTATATAGATACAGCCGGATACAGTATTGTGATGTTTGGACCAGGGAATGTGCCCTATGATTACTATGAATAAGAAATACAGCACATTCTATGATCCTGTGACCACCCATGTAAGGAAATCCAGCCCCCCTGATTACATATGGATTCCACTGTAATCAAGACGGTGTAACTAAATCCATCATTTCGATATTCGCGCGTATCAGATCGCCACTTCCTGAATAATGGCCCTTGATTGTACAAAAAATAGCAGTCCATCTAGAGGTCACAATTTTTAACCGATTTAAAAAAACAACGTGAATATATCACCATTACACACTAAGATCTTGGTTCCTTTTGATTATCGTGCATAGCCGAACGTAACTTGCTGGATTATGGCTCCTGATTGTTAGAAAAAACACATTTTTAGCTTGAGGATTCTCTAGAGGTCACACTTTTTTTTTCTGATTTTGAAAACCGTTTAAATATATTACCATTCCACTATAATGAAGGTTGAATTCGAATTTTGGAAAATCAATATGAAACTGCCCGACAAAATGGCCGCAAATTGTGTAAAGGTATGTGTAATACGAAGGTTGTGAACCCTCTAGAGCAGTGGTTCTCAACCTTTTTTTTGCCAACGGCACACCTTGGAACACTTGAAAAAATAGCTTCACACCTGGCTAAATAAATTTGCAAAATATAAAGTCATACAACGGTAGACAGAGACTGGTCATAGACATAATAATGACTCAAACTAAATGAAGAAAAACACAGCTATCTAAATATCCCAAAGATCTCAGTGCCTTTTGATATTTGCGCATTTCAGACCCTAACTTTCTGGATTATTTCACCTGATTGTACAAAAAATACTGTTTGTTTTTAGCTTCTTCTCTATCCATCTCTTGCAAAATGTGGGCGTATCCTGCCTGGCGAAAAAATTGTGAATGCGATAGAGGTTGAACAGGTTTTAACATAATTATTTAAAATTTAGTATTGGCATTGGGGGCCATGAGAGGACGAATCCTGTAGATAATTCAGTGATCCATAGCTACCCCTCTTTGGGAACTCCCTGTGAACTGGATAGAGACTACAGATTTATCTCTAATTCGACGTCAAGTACTTGGGCAATGAAAGGGTGGGCTCAACTGATTTTCCTTATTCTCAGACCATCCTTTACAAGATGTGGGTGCATCCTGCATGACAAACGCATGTTTATTTCATATTTCAACTTCAGTTACACACCCTTATAAACTTCACCCTGCTAAAATTTCTTTTATCAGATGACAGAACGCCAGACCACTCGTTACAGACGAAGTTTTTTTTTTCTTTCCACTGAGCAAATGATGTGAGGAGTATGCTTTTTAGTTGGGAGGGGAGCATTTATGATGTGCTTGATGAGGGTAAAGCCGAGAATCCCAAATTAGATTCGTTTTTGAAACCGAACCTAAAATCTTATCCCTGGTTCTTCATGGACAGACTACTTAAGTTGAGTTAGAAAATATATCCTAAGAGTAAAATATGTATTCTTGGGCGCAAATCAATCAAGGAAACCACATTACACACACCTAAAAACAAAAAAAAAACTGATTAGATCCATTTTTATTTATCCAACCGGTTTTGTAAAAACCACAATGACCTTTCTTAAGATAGTTTAACGTCTTCTGGTGACTGTTTTACAAGAGTTGCCCATTATCTTCGTCTAGTTAGTTTACCAGTAGAAAGCACCATTAATCATCAGCCATCAGTTTATTGTTTTATATATCCTGTTTAACAAGCTGCTCGACATCATGTACAATGATAATGGAGATGATGATCAGTTATTTATAAAGGCTCGGCCATCGTAACATACGCCTCACCTTCTTCATTAGTGAGTCCATATCCATGACGTTTTAAGAAGTGATTTAGATAAATTTGTCAAAACGTTCAAATATTTTGTCAGTTTCCTGCATGAAGAGGACATACACACGGCTGTAAATGCTGTGAAGTGCACTTAATGGTACAATTCGAAGGTAAATTTGCTTCCTTATTCATAATTTATCTACAGAAGGGGGCTTGGGTGGCCGAATAGCACGTGCGCGTTGTATCATAAGCGTAGGGGCTCGATAACAGTTAGGGGGGCAGAACCCGAAATGCCCGAAAAAATTTCGGGTTTACAGACAGCAGCGACCTTGTATACCCCCCTTCCCCCAAAGACAATTTTGGAATATTTGACGGCTGCAAACACGTTTTCCTGCTATTGCAGCCGTTGAACAAAACAACTTCAAAGTGGTCTAATATAGCCTAATTAAGGTGGCTGACTCGGAATTCCAATCAAACGTTTACAGTCCTCGAAGACGGGACCGTTAGGAGTAAATTTTGAAAATTTAACTGCCGCAAACGCGTTTTCCCGATATTTCAGCCAGTAAACAAAGCAACTTCAAGCTGTCTAATATAGCCTAATTAAGGTGGCTGACTCGAATTCCAATCAATCGTTTACAGTCCTCGAAGACGGGACCGTTAGGAGAAAATTTTGAAAATTTAACTGTCCCAAACGCGTTTTCCTGCTATTTCAGCCGGTGAACAAAGCAACTTCAAAGTGGTCGAATATATATTATAGCCTTATTAAGGTGGCTGACTCGAATTCCAATCAATCGTTTACAGTCAACGAAGACGGGACCGTTGGGAGAAAATTTTGAAAATGTAACTGCCGCAAACGCGTTTTCCTGTTATTCCAGTCTGTGAATACAGTAACTTCAATTTGGTCCAATATAGCCTACCTTTCTGACTCGAATTCCAAACAACCAATCAATCGACGCGCGGTATATGGAGGCCTCACCCTCCCGGAGAAAAATTTGAAAATTTAATCACCGTAAATGCGTTTTCTGCTATTCTAGCCCGTGTAAGCAACTCCAAAAGTATCCAATGGTTTTGTAACTGAAATCCCACTCTGAATTCTAACCATCCAATTAGACTGTTGCATCTGCATTCACAAATAATAATCGATGCCTGAAAAATGTCGCACAAAGTAGAGTGGCTCCAGACATGTTTTAATCCTGGTCAACTCAGTACAAATTCGTGATATTCAATTACAAGAAAAGTAAAATTAGTGTTTTTTTAGGGCTCGGTGACAGTTAGGGAAGCAAAACTAGAAATGCCCGAAAAATTTCGGATTTATAGACAGCGGCACCGGTTTTCTTTGAGAGGCGAATGACCCGCCAAGAAAATTTTGGAATATTTGACGGTCGCAAACGCGTTTTACTGCTAGTTTCCTCTGCCGCTTTCCGGCCCGATGCCCGTTTTTCGGGCAATACCTATTTTCGGGCAATACCGTTTTTTCGGTCATACCTATCATAAGAGAGCTTCGGGCATATTTTCGGGCATATGCAGTGGACAAGAAAAAGACGAGAAAATACTTTTCGGGCAGTGTGGATCTCATAGAAATAAGTTAGTTATATTTTTTCTCTAAACGTTAATAGAAAAAAAAGGTCGTCGAATTTTTCATTGCCCGTAAATTTAACATTTCATATTCTATAGCCTGGGTTCCAACCTCGGGATCGCGACCTCAGCTGTGGTCGCCAAGCACTTTTCGTGGTATCGTGGCGGACTACTCTGAAACATTTGAAAATATGTTACGTTTCATGAAAAGCATACAAATCTCTGATCTATACTCTTGGCACATTGTCAATCATCCTTCCTCAATTTTTATAACGGCGTAAAAATTTTAAACAATAAGTTGTCAATTAAGTTAAACAATAATGTAAATAATGATGATTGTTTCATAGTAAAAGGTGATTTTGTTCTTCGAAGGGTCCCTTCAGATGCCTGGTTTCTGGAATGGGGTCGTAACCAACAAAAGGATGGGAACCACTGTTCTATTGCGTTAATAAACACGACCCGTATCTTGCTCTCTACATGTGTATGAAATTAAATGGGGTTTAACGTCCTTTTTTTTCTTTGACAAGGTTAATAAAAACTTGGCATATGAGGGAAATTTGCCCCGGACCGCAGGGTTACGGCCTGCTCTTACTCAGACTTTCAACTGTCAATGGGTCTTTTACATGCTCGCCAATGTGTACCTAGAACCTCGGTTTTTCGTTCCACGTGCATCTATCTGCACCACTGACAAGGGGGGACCATGCTGGAAAATTCCGGGCAACTTTCTCGCCCATCACCGGGATTGAACCCCGGGCTTCCTAGTTAGTGAGCCACCGCAGCTCCTTGCCACTGTGTAATGTAGCAACTATGATTTTCCCGTCATTTGCATGATTTGACTTTAGAACACCACATTTCCTGGCTATATCCCCACCCCACCCTAATGTGTTTTTTCCCATTGGATGTAAAATCCAATTCTGATAGTACCTCCATGTGTAAGAAGTCACACGGAGATCTAATTTGACTTCTTTTAATTTCAAACCCACAGACACCACCTATTAAAGAAGAACCTGCTTTAAGATCTAATAAAAATGGCAGAACCCAGTTGGAAACTTGTATGGCTGACGTTACTTCTACTACCAACAGTTATTTCCTATAAATGTGTCCAGAGATCTTCTCGGGATATTCGCCCTGATCCGAGAGATTGTTCTATGTTTTATATATGTATATCTGGTTCAATCTACAAGTATAGCTGCCAGCACAATGTGTATGACCCTTATACAGCTTCTTGTGTTCCTAAACATTCAAAACACGATACATGTAAGTAAATTTACTTAGTATGCATCTCGGTTTAATAAGAAAGAGAGGAATGGGGTTCAAATTGCTTATTTCTGCAACACCCCGTCAGATAATGCTTAGTCAAGACCTTCACATAATAAACAGCTACTCCAAGTTTAACGTAAACTCAACACAAACTAGGTCATTTCAGGACTAACATATGGTTTAATTTTATTTCAATAATTCGCTTGCGCGTACGGGTCTTGTGGGAGGAAACCGGAAGACCCGGAGAAAACACACGTGGTTGGACAGGCGATCCTACTTCTTGACACGTACAGCCGGGGAATCGAAACCACGCCAGCTGACTCAATGACAGATCTTATGATACAGCGCGAGCGCAAAAACCATTCGCCCCCCCCACACGGTTTAATAATAAGAATACCTTTCTGTTTTTTTAAACCAATTTAAGCCCACCTAATTTTGGCTACTTCCTAAAGTATGGAGTATTTCACTTTTGACAGTCAGTACTAATCTCTAATCTAGTTCACATATTCCAGAAAACAATCGAAATAATCCACAATTCTTTTTTATTTATAACATTTTGGTTGTCCTGTTATTATCCAGGTTCTAAAGTGGATGGAAGAACACAACAATGGGCACAAAAACGTTGTCCACCGATTTCAACATCCCTTTTACCACATCCTACAAATTGTGCTCAATTTTACAATTGTTCAAAATCGGCCATGGAATTGGGATGGGAAGATAACTTGCAGGAATGTCCATACCCTCAGCTGTATAACGTACAACGGAAACGGTGTGAACATTATAGTATGGTTCAGTGCGACAGTCGTAAAGAACCATTCTCTCAGTGTGAGTTTATATTTTATAATCAAATCAAGGCATCTTAATTTATGTAAGTTGACATTCAAGTTGCGACGCATTTAGTAAGACGTTGGCTCGCTTACCTGGAGGTCTTGTCTTCGAATCTGTGTTGACCGAGAAAGTTCATCGGGATTTTCCAGTGTGGTCCCCCCTTGGCAGTGGTGCTGGACGGAGGGTCCGGTAAGGTATAGTCATTCGGATAGGACAAAAAACCTAGGTGCACTTAAATGATCCCTTGGCAATTAGAATTTGGTATAAGAGTAGGCTGTCCTGGCAAAATTTCCTTCATAGCACACTGTATGGCGTATGCCCGACTTCATTAGCCAAATCGAAGAAGAACATTAGGCCGTTAAATCCCATTTTATTTCCTTTGTCATTTTGGCTGTATCTTTGTATTCAGAATATTGATTTCTATATTCTAACTATAAACCATTCAGAACGTTTATTTGAATTCCAATTGTAATGTATATCATTCAAATGAAATAAGGTTTTACCTCCAACTTTTCCGCACAAGAAATGAAATGGGGTTTAACGCCCTACTGTTTTGCTCCTAAACTGGGCTAATGAAGACAGGCATACGCAATACAGTGTGCTATGAGGGAAATTTGGCCCGGGCAGCGGCGCTACGGCCTACTCTTATACCGAATTCCAACTGCCAAGGGATCTTTTACGTGCACGCCAATTTGTCCACGGGACCTCGGTTTTTCGTCCCATCCGAACGACTAGACAGCTGTCCTTGTTTTCCGCACAAGCCGGGCTAACACAACTGTATACGCGTCACACGAATTCGAACTGCCAAGGGTTCTTTTATGCGCACGCCATTGGATACACGGATGGACCATTTGAACCACCGACAAGAGGAGACCTGGCTATAAATTCCGAAAGTCCCAAGGGTCTTTCTTGGCAAATACTGAAGTCGAACCCTGGGCTTGGAGGTTAATGATATAACGCCATACCCACTGGTAGATGTAAATCATGCAGTTTGTTAATAAGGACGTGTGTGCCAAGACTATAACAGACCATACGTTTACATTTTTGTGCGTATGATTTTAGACATACTGCTACAAACATATGCAAATGGTCAATAGATCTGAAGAGAATTCAGGTTTCGTGGAACTAACGGAAGTTTTTCTCGAAGGTTGGAAATTCAAGGGAGATAAGTAGTCAAGTCTAGTACAAATCTTGGCACATCGATTTGCTTCAAGTCGAGATACAGCATGTTGATAGGTGATATTCCAAATCCCATATTCAATTTATAAGCTAAATATCAACTATTTTTGAATATTACTTTCCTTTATTTCTAGATAATGTTTTCAAAATAATTTTACCAGAAATATATTAATATCCGCAGGAGGGCGTTTTTATGAGGAAACTATAAGTTACATTCTTGACATGTTTTAGGAAATTGAAGAAAATGTGTCACCTTTCACACACCTAAAATATTATGACTTTGCGTACAGTTCGGCTAGTTCCTGATTATAAGGTGATCGCTCTTAGGATGATAAAATGTATTTGGCAGCCACGGTGACTCAGTGAGTAAGACGTTGGCTCGCTAACCCGGAAGTCCTGTGTTGGATTCCGGTGTTGGCTGAGAACGTTCGTCGGATTTTTCCGGCGTGTTGCAGATCTGTGGGCCTGGCAAGGGCAACTTATAGACGTTCATATGGGCCGAAAAAACGAGGCCTCGTGTACATTGGCGTTTACTAAAACGAACCCTTGGAATTCGATATAAGACTAGGCCGTAACCCCGCTGTCCGGGCAAAATTTCTCTCATAGCGTACTGTATGGCGTAAACCTGTCTTCATTAGCCCAGTCGGAGCAGAACAGTAGGACGTTAAATCCCATTTCATGTCATTTAAAATGTATTTTATATCCGTATGTTTGAACTAGCAGAAATTGTTTTACGGACAGATGCATAACTAATGAATTATATATGTTTCGGGTTCTATTATACCTCAAAAGTTAAAAGTTCATAAATGATTTCTTCTTTCAGGTGATTATATGATCAATCAATGTCGGACATCACACTGCATACCTTGTTCAGTTCGTTACCCTTCTTGTGTAGGACTTCCCGATGGTCTGAACGTATGGAAGGATCGCAGCGAGAGTCCATATTTTGTGGTCTGCAAAGGTAACCGAGCGGTTTATACTGGATCGTGTGGATCAAGACCTTTTACTCAGATATTTGACAGTAGAAAGCGAATGTGTGTAGACAAACAATCTCTTATCTAAACCGGAAAACATACATTAACACATTAGTTAATACCACAGATTGTAATACTTCTTTGAGATTTGTAATTCAAACCATGTATATAATAAATATACGGATTGACTGAATGTCAAGTTCTGTTGATGAACGACAAGCTGAACAAGAGTTTTGTTTTGGACAACCAGTGCTACATTAATAACAATGGAATTGAGTTTAACGTTCTAGATTTCTACACCAACCGGGCTAATGATACATTAATCAAAATGACATTCGGTTTAACATCGTAGGTTTCTGCACCAATCTGTTACACATATAAATACATGTACGAGCATGTTCAACCAGGGGCGTGAGTGTTCAAGAAGCGATACGGTATATTGATATTCTATTGGATTCAAAATAAATAAATATGTAATCAAAAGAATTAACCGTCTGTCTTAATAACAAGTCAACAGTGAGGCTGATGGTCCCACGCTTCAATCTAAAGATAAATAGATAACACTCATTAGTTTTGAAAAGCATGGCGAGCAATCAAATTGCTTTTCATTCTGCTTAACGTGAGCCAAAAATCCCATTATGGAACTTGGCCAACAAGAGGTATCCATGCAATGACAGTATGAACCAAGTTTTATTATTTTGACATAATTAGATATCATGGTCCAAAATATCGACAAATTAAATTGATTATTTCTGCAACGCCCCGTCAGATTCACATAATAAACAGCTATTCCAAGTTTAACGTAAACTCGACACAAACTAGATCATTTCAGGACTAACATATGGTTCAATTTTATTTCAATAATTTGCTTGCGCTAAGGGGTCTTTAGCAGGAGGGGGACCCACGAGGTTGGACAGGCGACCCTACACCTTGTCACGCACAGACGGGAAATAGAAACCACGCCACTTGACTTAAACTACAGATCTTACGATCTAACGCGAACGCGTTAAATCATTCGGCCTCCCAACCCCCGTCGTATTATTGAATGTATGGATCAGTAAATATATTTTTGGGTATATAAAAGAAGGAGTGTAATAACAGAAATATTCCACCATTCATTCCAGACCAGACAGCAGCATCCTCATGTTGTCTTAAACCCTTTAAAAAAAATACTTTTTAGAAAATTGTTGCCGGGTAAGCGGGAACGGACCCTTCCGTCACCTGCACTTTTGTTATAGACAACTAAATTTCCTCTCTGTAATGGTCTGATTACGGAACACATTAGCCAAACAAAACTACATTAAAGGGACGATAACACTTTTGCTGGCTTGACAGCTCCAGAAAATAAAAAATAGCCTTATTCTAAGTACTAGATGTGTTAGTGTCCTACCTGTTGTGTAAATTATCCATTAAATCCTATTTTACTTGTCCAGAGGGTTCGAAAATATTTTTAAATCCAAGTCACATTTGAAAAGCTTTACGTCAGGCTTTTCAAATCATTTAGTTGAATTTTTCCAATTTTTTAATTTAGGTGTGTTAAGATGAAATTTATATCATCAATTAATTGGAATATTGTAAAATAGTACAATTTGTTGACCAGGATAAAGATTAGGACATATTATTCAGTTACAACAAGGGTGGTATTGAGCCTTTAAATAAAATAGATTTATTGATTTAAACTAATACATTTCAATTCAATCGGGGAAAATACGAAGTCGTTCGAACAACGTTTGGTTTCAACGACTCTTCCATTATAACATTCTACATAAAAAGGAGACCATATTCGCCCCCTCCATGCATTTATACCATTTCTCAAACCGGAACAGGTGGGAAATCTAACATTACAAGGAATACAGAATTTCGTGGTACACTTATTTCCCACATATCCACCTGAAATAATAGTTAATATGTAACATTACAGAGAAATTAAGTGAAATGAAATGGGGTTTAACAGCCTACTGTTCTGCTCCGAACTGGGCTAATGAAGACGGGCCTACACCATACAGTGTGCTACGAGGGAAATTTTGCCAGGACAGAGGCACTACGGCCTACTCTTATATCGAATTCCAACTGTCAAGGGATCTTTTACGTGCACGCCAATGTGTACTTGGGACCTCGGTTTTTCGTCCGATCCGAACGACTAGACAGCTGTCCGTCCGCATTACAGAGAATACATGTTTCCCTGGTAAAATGATTACCCTTATAATCACATGAAATGAATGACAGCTTAGCAGTGGTCCTAATATTAAAATACACCATACATGCTATCTATGCAAATTTCTCGACAGAGAAATGGTATCAGATGTTCGAAAAAGTAATGTTCAAAATTAGTTACATTTTTCAATGGAAAGATTAAATTATACTAGAAAATATAAACCACAACTACCGCTGGGGAGTTTATCACCGCTTTCACATAGGGCGATGTAGCAGGCTAAGAGAACAATGAAAATATTCAAAAGTTATACATACACCTGAATATAATTATAACTGAATATATTATCATATATGTGATAGAACTGGTTAAACACATTCCAAATATTATTTTATCACAGAGATCATTGCTACGATAGCTGTGGAATCAATGTTTCAATGACGAACGCAAAAGGAAAACACGAGTTATCCCTCTATATAACTGATTGAAGTGACGGGTGATAACAGGTACATGGACGAATTTCTGCCCACTAATAATTCCTTCGAAGACCAAAAGTTGTTGTGTGAGACTGTGAAAGGATATCTGACAATTCATAAAAAAATTTGACTGTTACTAGATAAGAGAACATGAAAGAAAAATAGAAAAAGTCGGTGCATTACCATGTTTTATAAGGATAGAATGAATAAACACGCGTGAATGTACGGACTGTTTCTATTTTATTCGTGTTCTCTTATCTAATGACATTCAATTACTTTTTTGAATTGTCAGTTATACTCTTACAGCCTCATATAACAACTTTTGGTCTTCGAAGGAATTATTATTGGGCAGAAATTCGCCCATTTACCTGTTATCACCCGTCACTCCAATCAGTTATATAGAGGGATAACTCGTGTTTTCCTTTTGCGTTCGTCATTTCCGATCGTTGAAGCATTGATTACGCCTCTATCGTAGCAATGATCTCTGTGATAAAATGATATTTGGAATGTATTTAACCAGTTCTATCATATATGTGATAATGTCTGGCACCAATATTGTCCTTTAAGTAACGATTTTCGAGTTCATGGGATTCATTATCGACTGAGTTATAAATCTATGAATGTTTTCAAATCTTGTTAAAGAGAATCAGTATCAACAGCTATAATTTAAGTATGAAAAATTACTCACATGCATCGGTTGGTTCATATTTATTACCACAGTCCACTTGATCATAGTGTTCACACTGTTGTGTATTTTCATTGAAGAGGTCGGGAAAAGGACACTCTTCAATCTGTCCTCCGGGATGTGAACAATCATAATATTGAGCACAGTTGTCTCGTTTGGGTAGTAAAACTGCTGAATATGAATAACGATTGGAACATGGGTTGTTTTTATAATCTGTAAAATAAAAAAAAGTGGTCAATTAAGTTTTAAGAAACCTGTCAATTCGATCCCAGCCTTGACACTAACCATGAAATAAAGAATTAGTAGAAAGGTCGTGCATTCATAATGTTAATATTTAAATAATATAAATTGTTGACAACTATACAAAGTAAAGTATGTAATTGACTGTAAGCTCCATTTCATTCCGTAATCACTTTAGACCTGTGCACATGTCAGAATTATTGGTGAAATGGACACGAGAAGCGGCGGAACGGCAACACTCCCTGGACAGAGTAACTATAGCTTGACAGGCTTGTAGATCTGCGTGGGTACTGAATCAGGAAGATGATACCAGCGGGGCAAGAGAGCAATATGCATTCCCAACCTTTCTTCCTAAATTTATTTTATTAAATTATTGGTGAACGTATCCAAATTTACTTTTCAACCTATGGTTCAGCCTTATAAGTAGAATACTTACATGGATTAGCTGTTATTCCATTCAACAAGACACTGGATAACAATAGCAATAGCATCATGATTATATCTTTATGGAAATACAAAGCGTCTGTTGGTGATGAGGACAACAATATAGTTTAATAACTGTTTATATACTTACCATTTCTCAATTAATTATAATATATTGTCATTTCAATTCATATTTTATATACATTTTTCATTCTTTTTTTTAATATCCTGGCAGTTCTATTAATTAATTATAATAAATTGTCATTTCAATTCGTGATGTTCCTTATACTTATTATTAATGACCTAAATATAAAATTTAGCACTTAAAAAAAATCTATATCGGTACCAGGTGTTTACAAGGTTATTAGACTGTCATCAAATAACAATTAAGCAATAAATGTTATATAATAAATGATGTAGTCCTTAAACAATGGGTTCATTTCCAACCCAAGGATTTTGAAAGGTTGAAGGATGATGGGGTAATTAACCCTGAAACAGTGAGCCATTGTCATTGTGGTGAGAATTTAGTACCATATGATATATATACATCTATTTTGCAATACAGCTCCTCACAGGCTAATTTCCAACCAAGTCTATGTTAAATTAAATCAAAGAAAAGCTTGTACTGCAACAGTTTAAAGTAGCAGATTCTGGTAAACCCCACAAATGTAAATGGAATGAAATCAAATGGGGTTTAACGACCTACTGTTCTGTCCTAGGCGTGGTTCCCCCTTGTCAGTAAAGCAGGACGGAGGGCCTGCCAAGGACAGCCAGCTAGTCCTTCGGATGAGACGAAAAACCGAGGTCCCGTGTATACATTGGAATGCGCGTAAAAGATCCCTTGGCAGTTGGAATTCGATATAAGAGTAGGCGATAGTGCCGCTGCCCGGGCAAGATTTCCCTCATAGCACACTGTATGGCGTATGCCCGTCTTCATTAGCCCAGCATAGGAGCAGAACAGTAGGGCGTTAAACCCCATTTCATTTCATTTCATTTCGTTCTGTCCCAGAAGACGGGCATACGCCATACCGTTGCTATGAGGGAAATTATGCCCGGACAGCGTCGCTACGGCCTACTCTTATATCGAATTTCAACTACCCATCCATATAACTTTATATTTTGCAACTAGATTATTTACACTAGCACTTATATTTCTTTGTTCCTCATATTCAGAATGGTTTTTGAACAAGTCAAGGTTTGACCATATACATGTATGTATTTTATCATCCATAGTATTGAGTATTACAAGTTCCTGTTTTTTTACCATAATAAATTCTACTTTCATACAATCACTTTTGTACATGTCATTTGGGCTAAACCGATTTTTTGGCAGATTTACAGCAAAATGTTCACGAAGATTAAGGACAATCACACTAAGTTCTCTAATAATTTCGATCACGCGAAGTGGCTTTTTAAATGCATATAACAGTTCATTCTGCATCAAATTATCATTTAGCGTTTTACATTCTGGTTGAAATGAATTTACAGGATTTAAAGAACCACTTCCTTCGATCAAGTTGTTGTGGGACTTTCCCCTTGTCGGTGATGCAGGACGGAGGGCCTGACAAGGACAGATGTCTAGTCCTTCGAATGAGACGAAAAACCGAGGTCCCGTGTAAACATTGGAATGCACGTCAAAGATCCCTTGGCAGTTGGAATTCGATATAAGAGTAGGCGATAGTGCCGCTGCCCGGGCAAAATTTTCCTCATAGCACACTGTATGGCGTATGCCCGTCTTCATTAGCCCAGTATAGGAGCAGAACAGTAGGACGTTAAACCCCATTTCATTTCATTTCATTTCGTTTGAGACTTTCTAAAGAGCAACAAGCCAACAGTGAGGCTAATGCCCTCCGCCGCAATCCCATCAATTAAAAGCAAAATTGTTATGTTCCAAAGTCTTGACCAATCAAAATGCTTATCGCTACTTAGCCTAAGTAGAAAATTTTCATCATTGAGTTTAGTCAAGATATTGATATGAATCTAAAATCGGAGTTTCATCACTTTCGGTTAATTAGAACCAAAGTTATTCGCCCCAAAGCATCAACCAATCAAATGGCTTACCGCCGCATAGTCTTAGTGCGAAATGCGCATGATCGAATTCTACCAATAGACACCTATACCAAGTTTGAACAATTAGAAGGCGCGTTATTGCGTTCCAAAGATCAGATTGAAGTCTATACTTAACCAAAGCGCATCATCGAACTTAGTCAAGGTATTGATGCAATAGAACTACACAAAAGGTTTCACCACCCTCACTCAATTAGAATCAAAGTTATCGAGCTCCAAAGTCGCGACCAATGAAATTGCTTATCGCTCTGCTTACTCTGAGAAGAGAATGCTCATTATCAATCTTCCTCAAACAATTCTCATCTTCTAACTCAATCAATGCATTCACCTAATGAACACCTACACCACGTTTGGACGTTCTACCTCAATTAGAAGGGAGTTATTGTCTTCCAAAGTCTTGACCAATAAAATTGGTTATTACTCTTCTTACCCTGTACAGAAAATGCTCATTATCAACGAATCAACTCGCTCCACTTACCCTTGACAGAGAATGAAACTATACACCAAGTATACACTCTCACTTCATTACAATCAAAGTTATCGTGTCCCAAAGCATCAACCAATCAAATTGCCTATCCCAACTCAATCAAGGTATTCGCCCAATCAACACGTACACCAAGTTTGAACATTCTACATCAATTAGCAGGAGATGTATTGTGTTCCAAAAAGAGTGACGACACGTTTTGATAGTCCCCTGTCTACTTCGAAAGGCGGGTGGGGGTGGGGGGAATGACAGATTAAAAGTAAGAGTTATGACTTTTATGTGGGGCTTCGTAAGGGATATGGGATCCGAGAAGGGGTCACTGTTTCGCGGGTTCACGCGAGTGCACTAGTCCGAGGGTTCACGTAGGTGCACTAATCCGCTACTATAAATATGGGTATCAAAGAACCCAGCAGGTATGGTGGCTGATTGGTAACATGTCGTGGTGTCGCCCTTCGTAGGGGACAACCCGACATTACAACATTTTAACCCGACAATACGACATTTTTTACCAGAAACCACATTAAAACTGTCGTAATGCCGCGTAAAAAAGATCGCTGTACGTAATCACAATGTATATTGTGGGGAAGAAGGCCAACAACACGACATCACGGCATTTTAACAGGACAATACGACATTGTCACGCGACATTACGCGACTAGTGCACCCGCGGCTTAGTGAACCCGCGGACCAGTGAGCATTCCCATTGGATCCACCAATGGCACTTCAAGGGAACTCCAATGTCCCACAATCAGAAACCTTTCTTGCTGAACGATTTGGACTATAGCCCGGCAACCAGCCTTCTGAATTACAGAAGTTCATACGTGATCTTAGATTCGGATAATAATTTACGTTCATATCGAAAAGGATTCTCCGTTTTGACATAATTTGCGTTTACATTTATGAAGTTGATTGGTATCAGAAACTAATCCAGTCAAAGTAGGGGGTGGTGGGGTCCATCTTTCCTAAGGACAAGGATTGTGTTTATTTACAAGCAAAAAACCTAACACAATAATCAAAAGGAAGTAGAGTAAATTAAAATAAACTAATGACAGTTGATAATCTTATTACGGAAGCAAAATCGAACTCATCCAATCTAACTATTGCATACTTTACCACTATTTCTGTAGGGGTGGGGGGTTACGAACCCTATCGATACTCAGTGTTACGCGACCTTTCAGCTTGGTTCTCCATTGCCAGTGACGAAGGGCGGAGCGGGGCGGGATTCCCACCCGTGTACACGTAAAAGAACCCTTGTCAGTTGGAATTTTATGAGGAGTAGGATCAATAACCAAACCCACCCTAAACAAAGGAATACACCACTGTCTACTTCATTCGAAGGGTAAAAATGTATAATTTACATACATGTACAGGCAAATGACAGATGTTATGAACTGTAACAGATATGCATTATGATAAATTTTCCTGTGTCAGCTTGCAGTAATATTCAAATCAAGAAAAGTTTTCATCTTCACATCCTTGTTAATTAAGCACCACCTTACATTTAGCCGCACGAAGTGCCCCTGGAGATTAACGTCCGCTTCCACTGATATCGCAGACCAAAATATACGAAACGATTCTGTCAGATTTAAACTCAGCACTGGTTATAAATACTGATAAAATCCAAATCATGATTTGTAATCGTTATAAGTAATGATATACCTATATTACATAATGACAATGATATACAAATCATGTTAATTAACAATAATTGATATACATGACCACCTGAGCAAGGATGATTGAACTATTTTGTCAGTTTTTCACAATAATATGGTAGTATGATGTGGTATTTGGTTACTGCTGAGTAAATCGCCCTGCCGGTGTTGGCCAAGAAAGTTTTCCCTTTTCATTTGGTTACTGCTGAGTAAATCGCCCTGTCGGTGTTGGCCGAGAAAGTTCTCCTTATTCAGTAGTGCAGGATTTTGAAAGGCATAACTTGAACCTCTTATATGAACAATATTATTTTTTACATAAATGATCCTTATTCCTTGTCTGTATA